CGACCGGAGCCACCCGTTTACGGACAGGGCCGCGGTTGTGGAAAAGATATGCGCCATCCTCCATGAGTACCCTGTGCAGAACGTCCTGGCCTTGTGGTCCGTGGCCAGTGACCTGCTCCTTCCCGAGCAGCCAGACGATGTCGCTGAAGTGGGCTACAAGCTCCTCAAGGCCTGCGCCTCACTCGCCAACTTGACCAGCATTGAGCGCACCGTCTTCTTCGACGCGGCCTGTTTGCGTAAGAACGATCGCTTTTTCGACAAAAGACTTGAGGTTGTCACCACCCTCACGCACGATGGTCGCGATGTGGAGTCTTGCGAGGCGGGCATAGTCTCTTTTGTCTTGACCTCGCTAGACACTTGTTTCCTAGCCAGCAAAGACGCCTTGAACGCCCAGAGGAGCAAATCAAATGGAAAGAAAGCGGCTGCGAACCCACCGCAAGAGGTCGCCAACATGTTCCGCGCATTCCAATTTGCCATTGACATTTGTAAATTCAACGCCAAGGTCTTCACCGACGACGACCTGGATCTTTTGATCAGAAGAACTGTCGCCATTTGCAAAGCCACGTTTTACAGGCCTGACGTCGAGTGTGGAATCAAGCTCTTTGACACCATCATCACCTACGTCCATGTGCCCACGAAGTCACTCCATCCTTGCTTACAGGTTCTGAGCGAAATTCACAAGAGGATCCCTGGGTTTCAAGACCAGGCGTGGAATACTTTAAGCAACCTTTTTAAGTCCCATGTTGGCCAGGCTGCGATATCTGTCTTGTTGCATATGCTCTTGGATGGCCCCACGCAGGACAACTTACAGGATGCTGACAAAAAAAGGCTCGACAGCATGTATACAGGCACTACCCTAGTCCTGCGTCTTCTTCTTTTGGAAAATGGCCGCAATGAACTGCCCAAGGTGCCCATGTCATTACTATTCCCTGCGCTGAAAGCATCCATCCAAAGGCCCAATACCGATCAGGAACAAATCATCATCAGCTTGATAGACACCGTTCTCGATCAAGACGGTATGAGAGACTTACTCCTGGCCGAGAGCGACTTGGGAGACTTGCTCGAGGTAATCTGTGTATGTGCTGAGCGTGATGATGACCGCCTTCGCGCCAAAGATGCCAAGACATCAGATACCCTCAGTATCGAAAAGAAAGCCTCCTTTGACAGACAACTATCTCTCCCCGATGACAACAGATCGAGCAATGGACGTCCTATGGCCCGGCATCGGTTTGCCTCGTACTCGCCGCCTATTGGCGGAATGGAGCACGATGACGATATAGGACCACACGATCAACGTACGGCATCACAGCACGAGTTTTCGCGACGAGATGCTGCAGACGGCATTTTCAAAGTATTGGCTAAGCTAGACCATCTCAGCGACGCGTTTGATTTTGTCCAGCGGGAAGCGGCCATGAATGTCTTTTTGCGTCTTGCACATCGTGTGAGCGACGCAACAGCGGAACGAACCATCCGCTACTTTGCAGACGAACGCTATCTCAACCCCTCAAACGAAGATTGGTTGCATCTTTGCCAATGCCTTATTACAGGCATCTTCAGCGACTCTAACCGGCCACGCTCACTTCGTACCTTGGTGATACAGGTGCTGCGGGAAACTTACAGTACCGTAGAGTTGTTGTGTGAGGGTGATGCCGTGTTTCAATGCCAAGACCTTTTGCTCAACCGACTTGAGCCCGAAGACGACATTGAGGTTTTGCAGGAACTCGTAGACTTTGCCCTGTACGTTGCCGATCAAGCGTCTTTTGATCGTTTCTCCCATGTGGTCCGTCTCTTGAAGAAACGTCTGGATCGCCCGCAGCCCGCACAACCAGTTCCGTCCGCACCGTGGCAGCCCCATCCATTTTCCACAAAAGATGACGGATGTTCCCCATGCAATGTAATCACTACTGTCTATGTACGGCTGTTTACTCGTAGCGTTATTCATTCAGCGCAGAAGACCCGCCTTCTCTACGAACTGTTGCGGGAAATTGCTGGCAGCGATAAATACGCGCATGATGCACGTCTAACAGCTCTCAAGCTATTGTTCCGTTTGCGTGCAGACGCTCGCTTTGCTCTCATAGTCAACTCTTCATCCGAAGGCCAGAGGATTGCTGCCGAGTTATGCCGCACAGAGGAAACAGCTGTTACTGAACGGATCGATGAAACTACGCCGGGGGACCACGCTCGACCGGAAGACCACCCCTCCTGGAGGGAGAATCGGAAAACCTCTGGAACTAGTCCACGTTCTTCTCTCAATCGCCACTCTGGGCGCCAGGTTGCCGCTGCAGGTCGCGTATCAAGGCCGATACCACCTCTATGGATGTATCCTGGTCCGAGGGGCCTTCCCGAAGAACCATCGCACGAATCCAGTCGAGTTGTCTTCTCACACATAGATGCCTCAGAGTATCCTCTTAGCGAAAATATCTTGGACATGGAAATCACATTGTGGCTCGAATTGATCATCTCCCTGCTCCAAAGACCGCCTGATTGGGAGATATACTCTTATGTTCTTACACATCTTGGCCCTCAACTCTCTAACCAAGCATTAGTCCGCAGTTGCGTTGTCCAACTTCGAATGCTACGAAATGTTCTTTGTGAACAAGTACGAAACGCAAGCTTCCACGAACCACCACCCCACACTCTTCTCAAAAAGGCCGACGTAGCGGTTTGCCTGTTTCACGCTTTGACGGTTCTCATCAGTTACCACGAGTACTTTGAAAAGAGCGAGGAAGATGATCTGGTCAAAGCATTTCTGCAGGGCATCGTACAGTGGGACAGAACATCAAAATGGTGTATCCACGCGCTCTCTGTATGCTGTTTTGAAATTCCACTCTCAGTCAGCAAATCTCTCGACAGCATCGTTCAGAAGATGTCGCAAATCATCACGAAGCCAGCTACAGCGATACACATCCTGGAGTTCTTGGTATCCATGGCTCGCCTTCCGGAGCTCTTCAAGAACTTTCGTGAAGATGAGTTCAAGCTTGTCTTTGGAGTGTGCTTCCGCTATTTGCAACACATCCGCGATCAACAGGGCCGCACGAATGGAAACCCAACCCAAAACGGCCATCGGGCTCTGAGACACAGCGGTACATCAAGGGACTTTGCAGCAACATCAGACTTTGGCGCAACGAAACCAAGAAGCGTTGAGGATGATCTTCCTCAATACCTGAATTCGCTCGCCTATCATGTCATTACGTTCTGGTTCATGGCCTTGAAGATGGAAGATCGGCCGAAACAAATACCGTGGATCACCAAGAACTTGTACTTTACAGACAGCTCTGGCCGTCCAGTCATGGAAGAACAAGGGCAGGTCATTGTAGATATCATGAACATGGTAGCATACACAGACCGCGATGAGACGACACGCGAAGAATTCTCTGCCAAACCTGGAGATGGCGAGATTTGGAAAAAGACTTGGATTGTGGGCAACAGCATAGTGACAATAGAGACTGCTGCCAGGACCGGCACGTCTCTCGTAACAACGCGCCGACCAGTAAGTAACCCCTCACCATCGAACAGATCAGAGCAGTCTGCTAAATGTCCTTAGTGCGGGACTAGATACATCAAAGTCCGACCACTGCTTACGTCACCCCCACGGCATCAAGTACCCATCACAATTGGTCTTGCTTCCGAAGCATTTTATTCCGACTCTTATGTTGGCATTCTACCAGAAGACATCTTTCAATCTTTCTACGCACCTCTCGACCTCACTAATCCGCCAATTCCTCTACCCGACGATGAGCCAACACGCCGTGCTATTGCTTCTTTTGACAGAATCGCAACGGTTGACAACTACAAAGTAGGAGTCATCTACATTGGTGAAGGGCAAACAAACGAGCGGGAGATTTTCATGAATGATATCGGATCGCCAGCATACACATCATTCCTCAGTGACCTAGGCACCCTCTGCCGCTTGAAGGGCGCCAAATTCAACACTGGAGGTCTCGACACACGCGAAGACATGGACGGCGAGTTCACGTACTGTTGGCGTGATCGCTGTATGGAACTCGTTTTCCACATCCCAACAATGATGCCTACGAACCGCGACGATGAAATGACTTATCCTAACAAGAAGCGCCATATCGGCAACGACTTCGTCAACATCATCTTTAACGACTCCGGCCTACCCTACAACTTTGATACCTTTCCCTCGCAGTTCAATTACGTACATATTGTCATTTCCCCAGAGTCGCGAGCCAGCTTTGTAGACCGCCGGCTGGATGCAGACCCAGAGGGCAGAAATCGGTACTACAAAGTACAGGCTATTTCAAAGCCTGGCTTCCCCGACATATCCCCTGCTGTTGAGACCAAAATTCTTTGTGGCAAATACCTTGCAGACTACTGCCGTCTGATTGCAATCAACGCAGTGGTCTTCTCTAGCGTATGGTTCATCCGCGAAGGAGGCGAATCAAGCTCGTCCTGGCGCAACAGATTGCGCGAGATCAAACGTCTCCGAGAACGATATGGTGCAAGCAATGCTCCACCAAGCTACCCACCACCAATATCACCACCTGCAGGTCAAGGCCTCTCGAGCCCACCGTCCAGAGAACAGAATCTGGTTTCGCCGTTTCAGCGGCTTAGCATCGCGACTCATGTTACTGATGGCACCAGCCGCAGCTCCATTAGCAGCTCTTCACACGACGTCTGATGTTGCGCACCAAAAGTTGTTTGTTGTTTGGTGTTCAATCGGCATTGAAAAAAATATACCCAGGGTTTTGATTACCATACACACAAAAGTTTTGTTTGATTTTTTTCTCTGCAAGTGGGGGATAAGGGGAGGAACTTCCTGTTGATGCATTTGCATGGCGTTGGCGGAAGTGCAAACTGCTAAGTGAAGAAGTATTCATTGCTAGGGTTGGAATCTACGACGGAAAAAAGGAGGCGATGTATGAAAGTGGACGAAGCTTTTTTCTTGTATCTTTATTTGTATTGTACTTGGGGTTAGACGTCATCCCTGGCGCACTTCTCGGCTCAATTTACAACGTTATCATTACAACAACACCTTACCTGTTCCTCCGTCGAATCTGAGGCTGAAAGTCAGTGACTGGACCACCTGTTATCTTATACCCATTTCTCAGCTTGTAGAACTTAGCAATCTGCTCACGATCGGTGTCCTGCATCGTGGGTGGGAAGTTGCAGCTCATAATCGGCTTAGGGTCTTTCGTTGGGCGCGATTCAGGTCCCATGAACCGAACCGCGCCCTCGCCCTCTGGCGGGAGACCGTTGCCCGCATCCCCAGTAATGGCGAACTCATGGCGCAAACCGAGTATATGCCCTATTTCGTGCTGGAAGATGTTCTTCAAGACGTGCACGGCGTCCGCATCGAAGGCGCGCGAGAAGACAATGACGTCCTGGTCGACTTCATGCGGGAAGAAAGCGCGCGCCAGCGTGTTGCGGCCCGGTCCCACGGTAGGATTGGGCTTGTACACGAGGTAAAAGTGTGCGGTATCCTGATTGTTCGTCTTGGAGATGGAGACGCCGGGCTCGAGCTCGTTCCATGTATCAGCGGCTTCCTGGAAGGCTTTAGCTGCGATTCGCGCTTGCTCGGGAGACGTGAAGGTGTCTTCTTGCACAAAGTATTGGAGGACTCTTCCCTTGGTGGTACGGATATCCCAGCGGGGAACAATGGCGTCGTAGCCGACGACGATGGAGTCGGGCTCGTCTGTGTTGTTATCGCTGGTGGTGCCGGCTCGGTTGGAGATCGGGACAGGGCCTAAAGAAGGATCTGTCTCCCCCTGCGTATCGCAGGGATACTTGGTGAGTTCTGAGACGGGGATGACTTTATTATCCGCCATTGGAGTGACACTAGGGTTGGTTCGACCGGAGGTTAGTGCTGTGATTGCACGTTTGTTGATATCACCACACCAGGAATCAAATTTAAATGCTTCGGCCAGTTTGGCAAGTAAGAAAGGATGTTTAGGTTGGGGACTGATTGATGACTATTGCCTTGGATTCTCTTCATCTTATATGATTTCTCAAATCTATAATGCTTAAGTCCAGGCCCTTGAAGTCTTGCGGTTCGATCCTTGATTCTGCTTTAGCTTGCTGCAAGACACTGTATATAGTCAGCTTTCCAGTCTCTCAGCCTTTCAGCTTCTCAGCCACTCTACAAGGTCATTCGAGAATGACAAGGCTTTGGAGACGCCATGAAACTCAAGATACGAGATCGGCGAGGGTCTACTCTTGATGTGTGTGGGATGTCGTTGTGTCAGAGCTACCAAAGGGGAATTTCAGTTTGTCAAAGTTGATGCAAACTGTTGCATCATGCGTATATCACCTGCATGGCGTCGCTTAAGTTTGAAGTTTATGAGTACAGTGGTGATCGGTGACGCTGTGTGGTTCCGAACGTGATTGGTTTGTGTCGTTTAGAGCGACAGGCCAACGAACCGTCCCGCTTGCTACTTTGGACGATGATTAATGCACCCATTAATCTGACCAGTCTAGCTGCACCAGATGTCCATTGGTCTAGCTGAGACGGCTGGGGAAGCGGGTACTTGGAGTAGTCGGAGCAGCCATATCAATGGGCATTTAGTCCAGTCAGCTTGTCAGATCAGTCATACCTATTATATGTGGTAGCTTAGCTGGATTATTTGTTCAATGGGCATCGAGAGCGGACATATCAGCTAGCTGAGCTAGATTATACTAACCAAAACCACATATCTCATAGGCTGGTCTTGTACAGAAACACAGTGCCCAGTTCGGCAATATTTGGATGACTCTAAAAGATAGACAGGATGAGATATAACGATGTCACGTTCAATGCCGATGTGATCGTTGGTATTTAATGGCCAGAGCTGCTGAAGGATGCACAAGAGGTCCTCTGCCTGCTCAACGTCAACCCTCATATCAACATTTCTGCTGTACTTGGGGACCGCGGCGCCGCAGCAACAGCAAAGACACTCTTCGCGCTCGAAGCTCTAAGAGGGGAAGATAACGATGTGGACGCCTTCCAAGGTCAGATCGAAGATCCTATGCAACTCGCCATACAAGCCCATCCAATCATGGCGACCCAGTTGGCGGATGGGACTGAGAAGACTTGTCAGTTTTTCGACATTGTAAGAGCTAGCATGGTCCTACCACATGTGCAGGCGCTCAAGGCCTACAATAACACCCATGAATCATATCATTTACACCCAGGCATGGCTGAGACGGTGGTAATGTAGGTCCAGATATTTAGGTCCATCTCCAAGGCTGTAAACCGCATCGGTTCCGCAGTCTTGGTCTAGAGTCACTGCGTCAAAAGGCTTGAAGATAATCACATTCGTTGGGAAACTTTCTATACGGGCACGCAGTAAGCCATCATCTATGCGTCGTGATATGTCGGTGCTGCCAATGATGACCTTGAGAAGTCATGCAAGGAGTTGCAGGCACTTTTCCAAAAGATCAAGCATGACTGTAACGCCTGCAAGTTAAAGAGCAAGCCAATTGACGAGCTGCTTGCGGCCAAGCGAAAGGAACTCAAAGACTACATCTTTCGACTGGCTGCTGATACTGCCGCCGTCATGTTTGTGGGTGCGGCTGCAGCCCTGACTGTTGGAAGTGGCTCAGCTATTGCATTCAAGAACACGATCAGGGTTGACGGCTTGGTGCTTAGAAACACGTTCAAGACGTTCTACAGCAAGATGGATTGGGACAAGTTCCATGACAGCATTGTCAGCCTCAGCATTTTGCGTGATTCGCTCACCACGGTCGTCAACTTGTTCGACACGATCCTGGCCACTTTCTCAGATACGCTAAACTATGGACAGGATCTGCAAAGGCATCTCAGGTAGTCTCAGAGGCGCCTTGAGGACTCTCAAACCGACCAGCTAGCTCGCGTGGCGGCTGTAGAGAAGCGTAGAGAAACGAAGGTTGCCGCCATGGAGCGGTATATCAAGGAAGTGGACTTTGAGGAAGTTATCAAGAGTTGGGGTGCCGTAGACGTTGTGCGTGATATACGAAATGACATATCCTGTGCGCAGGGATATTCGTTGCCTGCTGACTCTGAGTCGAAGTAGGAGCTCAAAAGACAGCTATGTGAACAAAAACTTCGAAGATTTTCTCCGGGTTTACAAGTTTGCTGGTACAAACTCATATGTGGTGTACAATTTTATCTCTTCGTGGTTGTGCAATTTAAATCGAGATTGCTAATGTGGAATTCGACCTGTGTTCATCCATGCCTGTAGCTTCATAGAGCATTATTAAGCTCTAGAGATGCAACTACTAGTGAAGATTTTAGAATAACTTCTTTACATAGTAAATGTGGAGAAAATTGTTAGCGTTCAGTAATTCAAGGTTTGGTTTTCGCGGGTTTAAATTCTAACCTTTGCCTTTGAGGGGAATCATTTCCCGTCAGATCCCCGCTACGCTAGCTGTCCCTACATCACCCGAAATGTTGAAATGACGAAATCACCTCCAAAGTTTGAGCTCCTCTGACTCTTCACCAACAACATGAGCGCACCAAATTTGCCGTTTCTGTGGCCAACGCTATTCAGGCCAGTAAAATCGGCACGCACACATGCCTCTAGAGTAAAAGGAAACGCGCCTCATACGCGACAAGCACGGCGGCATCTGACTACAACGCCATGTCAATTGGAACAACCCAGCACACAGAGATATGGGAAAGCCTATGAGCATGCTGCTTCAGGGCAGCAAAAGCCCGCGACATGCGAGACCCAAGAGAAGGGATCAGCAACCGCTGGAAAGCCTTCCCAAGACCAAGTTCCTAGCAAAGAAGAAGTAGAAGGCAATGCGCCAGCAGCAACATCCAGCCCACCAACCCCCAACAAACCCAGCGCCTCTGAAGAAAAACCCATAATAACGCCTCCGCCTGAGCCCCTCAAGACCAACGACACCAAACCCGTCGACAGTGTCCTCCACATCCCCACGGCCGCCGAAGAAGAATCCCACAAACCACCCCACCTCAAAACACCCCCCTACGTCCACCACTTCGACACCTACGGCCTGGTGCGCAAACTCTCCCAATCCTCCTACACCCCAGACCAATCCATCACCATCATGAAAGCTGTGCGACAAACCCTCCTCTCCAATATGGCGCTCGCCCGCGAAGGCCTTGTCAGCAAATCCAACGTCGAAAACGAGACCTATCTCTTCCGCGCCGCGTGCAGCGAGCTGAAGACTGAAATCGGGAATGCACGTAAAGGAGAGATGGAGCGCATGCGCCAGGAGAGAGGGCAATTGCAGCATGAAGTTGATATTCTGGGGCAGAGACTGAGCCAGGAAACCGGGGGGTTGAAGGATGAGCTCAAGGGACTTTTTGATGATAGGAAGATGGCAGTGAGGATGGAGCAGAGGGCGATGGAGACGAAGGTATGTTTTGCTTCTATCCTATATTTTGTTTTGAGAGGATACAGAACATGTGGCTAACGTAGCTTTAGATCCAAGAACTCAACTACAAAATTACAGTCGCGCTCAATTCGGATGCGCGCTCGGAAGTCGAGGCGCTACGCTGGGTGCTTACGAGGCGCGCGGCGATTACAGTGGGAGTATCGGCGTTTATGTTGTTTGTGGCGCTGCGGTATACGAGTTATGTGCAGCATCAGAAGCAAGAGGAGAAGAAGAGGAAGCAGAGTGCGCCGCCGCCGCATCGGCCGAGTCCGATGGAGGAGTTGGGGAGTGAGCCTGTGAGTCCGACGGCGAGGGATGCGTTGGGGGGAGAGCTGTTGGCCACGGAGGGGGTGTCGCTTGGATAAGTAGTGAGATTCAAGCAGTAATCATTGGACATTTTTTGATTGCAAGAATTGTTCTTTGCCTTGAATCTTCAACAGGTCTAACAAACCAGAAGAGAAAACCTATAGCTTATGCTTCTTCTCCCCCGACGCCAACTTCCTAAACTCCTCCTGCGGCACACCCTTCAAAAACCTCTTCAACCCACCCATCACTTCCTCAACTCCCTGCTTATCCAGTGCATCCCGCATCGGCTTCTGAATCAACGCCTTAATCTGCACCAGACTCTCCCTATTCAAGTGATCCCCCAGCCTCTCCTCCACCTCTTCCAGCACCTGTCCCAAAAACCTGTCACTGTATCCTTCATCCTTCACATTCCCCGCATCGAACGTCTTATTCACAAAGCCTGTGGCTAGTAACTCTTCGTTGGTGATGCGCTTACTCATGATCAAGGCTTCATTCGCTTTTGCGAGACCGAGGCGCCGCACGAAGCCGATGGAGGCATTACCTTCTGTGACAAGGCCGAGAGAGGAGAAGGGAGTGAGGATGAAGGAGTGTGGGGCGCTGTAGATGAAGTCCGAGAAGCTGATTAGAGCGGCGGACAGGCCGACGGCGGGGCCGTTGAGGGCGGTGATGAGGATTTTGGGGTGGGTGTAGAAGGCGTGGGTTATCTGTTTGTGATTTGTTCAATTAGCTTTGCCATAGCTTTTTCTTTAAGATTTTTTTTCTGGATAAGGATTTTTGGAGAAAGGTCGAGACGTACAAAGAGGTTATTCGCGACGAAGCTCCGGAGATACATTTGTTGCTCGTCTAGTGCTGAAGCGTCTTTTTGCGCGCCAAAAGCTACGTCTGCGCCTGCGCTGAAGAAGCGGCCTTTGCCGGTTAGGATGGTGATGCAGATGTCGTCGCGGGCTGCGACCTCATTCATGGCACTGGCAAGCTGGTAGTATTCTTTCGCGCCCAGGGCGTTGAGCTTTTTGGGAGCATTGAGCGTGATGGTTGCGGTTTTACCGCGGTATTCGATCTGGATGGCACTTTCCGAGGCCATTGTGACTTTTGGGCGTGGTCTGCGAAGGGACAGAGATAGTGGGTTCCGGAGACAGAAGTGTATGGGTGTGAGATGCTTTGATAGTGCGGAGAGGTTGTGCTGCTCGCGTGGAGAATGCGGATGGGAGGTATGGATTGAGCCGAGGTTTAGAATGCGGAGAGGGATTGGATCATCCGGGTAGGAAATTATGTGTTATTCTATTTGAAGAGAGGGGAGAATGCATATCGGACTTCAGAATTTTCGCTTTCCGTGCTAGACGCGGTGTAGACATGGTAAGATACGAAGAAGTATCGTGGACGAAGCTTGTGTCTATCTATCGCACGCATGTGAAGCTCTATTGCTAGCTTACCCCAAGTTCCGAGTGGTGGGGACAATGTAGGGCTGAAGATTAGATCGAGCCCTTGTGATTTCTCCATTGCGAGAGATATCACCGAACCATCGCCGAGCAGAGATCTGAGATTCTTTGGACTCCATCATCACTCCACCCCAAGCCGCCCGGTTAGCTTCGCCAGACGCCTTGCAAAGCCACGCTCCTTGTCGTAACACCGCAAATATGGCAGGTCCAAATCTCGAGGTCTTCAAGGTACGCCTTTCTTACGCAATGATCATGTGCGCCGCATCCAAACTCGCCTTCGTTACCATGCCATTCACTCCGCACCACCTCCCGCCGCCCCAATTGGACCCGGATCTATTGAACTGACTCGGTACCTCTAGTTTGGAATGTATATTCTCTTCCCAATCAGTATAATGTACTACTTCGGTACCAATCTTGACGGCAAATTCACGGTTCCTGATTTTTGGCCGAAGCCGGGCCAGACGCACAAGATTCCGTATGACCGCGATGAGATAGCAAAGGAACTGGAGAGGATAAAGGCGAGGAATCTGGAAAACAAGCGCAGGAGAGAGGAGAGGGAGAGGCTGAGGGAAATGGGCGGCCAGACTAGGGAAGAATGAGCGGAATATACCAAAGGGCGATGCTTGCGCACATGGAATGCGTCATGACATGCAGACCGTAGGATGAGAAGAGAAAAAGGAACAGAGTCGCAACAATATTGCAGCTCCTGGAGACTATGAAGCATCAGAGCACAAGGAATGGCATGGATGGCGTTGGGATATCATGATGCGCTTGAGGAGATATGTACATTATCGTACAATACTGTATCATACACAATTCTAGGTGGAGACGAGGAGCATATCACACGCTCACCTTTCCTCTCAACTCTTCCCACATTTCTTCTGCTATGCTGCCCTTGGTCCAGTTCATGTATACACCCTGCACACCCTGTACCTCCTGCAACTCGTCCAAGAAATTACTCAGCTCTTTTGCTGCGCCCTCGTCATCCAGTGCGACCTTGGTATCCTCATTAGGGTCGTATATGATCTCACTCTCCTCGATTTCAAGACCAACGTCCTTGGTCAATTTTTCGGCGGTCTTGTTCGTCATGGCTGGCTCAGTGTACAAGACCACTCGGCCTTCGGCATCCTCGTCTACATCCAATACGCCCGCTTCCAGCGCCGGCTCCAGCACCTCATCTACGGTCACGCCATCTTTCTTCCGAAGTATTATTCGTCCTTTCTTTTCAAACATAAAGGCAACTGTGGAGACGGTGCCGCCCGCTTCCTTGACTAGTAAGCGGAGGTCAGCCAATGCACGCAGCTTGTTGTCGGTCTGGCATTCTATAATAGTCGCAATGGATGGCGGGAGAATGGCTTCGAGAACAAGGGATTCGAGCGCAGTGCCTGTGGCAGAGAGACCCTGTCCACGTGCAATGGCAGCCTCAATGGAAGCCTTTGGTACGGCCGACTTCTTTGCAGTAGCTATGGCGAGAGCGAGGCGGGGGTTCATATCAGGGTTTGGCCCAGCGAGTTTGACGGCATTGGTGATGTCGCGGGTCATTAGCGACCGCTGTTTCGATTTACCAGCATCATTCTTCGCCTTGTCGTGTTTAATCGTAGCCCATTTCCTGTCTTCGAGTCAGAACGAATCCCAATTATTGTGCATGCATCAAGGGCGACCGTACGAGTGGCCTGATAGTAAGGCGGGACTTGTGCTCAAAC